CATTAACACCTATGGGGATGAAGGAGATTTAAAATAATAGAAGCCACGTGCAAGCACTGAACCACCAGAAACCAGGAGGCTGCAATTACCCTGACAAGAGGAAGAGGAGCACAACCAACAGTTTATTACGCACGGGGAGCTGTAAAGGTGGCTGATGGAACATGGTCTTGATAAAGACTGCTACGTCTAAATGGAGCTGAGCGATGTGGTTGTAGAGAATTTTTTTTTTAAAGGTGCAAAAAAGAAAATAAAGGCTTCACAACATTTCTACATTGCTCAAACAAGTGCATCCATTTAAGAGGCGGGAGACTATAGGACTTCCAAAAGTGATTAGCAGGCTGTAAAGTAAGCTGTGACCCACAGCCCCACTGAGAGCTTGAAGAGGAGTATGACACAAGCCACCTGATGGGAAACTCATTAGTAAGTGATAACTAGTAAACAGAAAACTGGAGAATGGAAACAAGAGAGGGAAAACTGATGAGCAGAGCAAGAATAGATTTTTTTCCCACATGGTCTTTGGGGTAGGGATAAGAAGGATAGGGTTCAGTAAGGTCTAGGCCTTGCAAATGGATTCCTTAGGAGGCATGAAACGGATGTAATAATTACGATGAGCCAAAACAAGAAGCCCAGCCTCAGTCCCATGTGCTCCAGGCTGGACTTATTCCTGGAAAAGTGGCTTCCTTATCATCCTACGTATTGGGGAGGCACCTACGGTTGCAACTGCAGATCTCCCCCTGATCACTTCTATTTGCCAAGTTATATCCATAAAGTTTACCCAAAGCCTTTCTAGCCTTGGCACCTATTGTAGTTATTCTGGGTCTCTGGAATCACAATGAAACTGGAAGCTGAAAATCGTAATGTTGGGTTTACAAATACAGAATGGTCATCTCACAAGAAAATACTGTTCTCAGTAACAGTATCACCGATCTTATTGACGGCGAATTTTCCTCCTCTTCCCCTGCCTCCCATTCTAATGATAGTTATCTTCCTTATAACCTCCCGTCTTCTTTCTGAGGCCCTCATTCAAACATCTGAATTCCCGCTGAAGCTCCATGGAAGTTGCAGGTGCTGTTCTTGCCAGGGGAAGGTGGGAAAGAACCTGATCAGAATAATTCTGATAGATTTCTGCACTACNGGAGTTTTAGGATTTCAGGACTTGTATTCAAGTCTTTAATCCATTTTTAGTTTATTTTTGTATATAGTGTAAAAAAGTGGTCTAGTTTCACTTTTTTTCCATGTATCTGTCCAGTTTTCATAGCATGATTTATTGAAGATACTATCTTTACCCCACTGTATATTCTTGCCTCCTTTGTCTATAGAGTAGTTGACTATATAGGCATAGGTTAATTTCCAGGCTCTCTGTTCTATCCCCTTGATCTATGTGTCTGTCTTTATGCCACTTAACATGCTATTTTTCTTGGTATAGCCTTACAATATTGTTTGATATCAGGAAACGTGATACTTACATCTCTGTTCTTCTTTCTCAGTATTGCTTTGGCGATTCAGGGTCTTTTGAGGTTCCATATAAATTTTAGGATTACTTGTTCTAGTTCTGTGAAAAATGTCATTGGTATTTTGATACGGATTACATTGAATTTGCAGATTGCTTAGGGTGGTATGGATATTTTAACGATGTTGCTTCTTTCTATCCATGAGGATAGTATAGCCTTCTATTTATTTGTATCTTCTTCAATTTCTTTCTTCAGTGTGTCACAATTTAATGAATACAACTCTTTTACTTCCTTGGTTAAATATGTACCTAGGTATTTCATTCTTTTTGATGCAATTGTAAATGATATTGTTTTCTTAATTTCTCTTTCTGATAGTTCATTAGTGTATAAAAATGCAAATGATCTCTGAATATTAATTTTGTATCATGCTATTTTACTGACTTCATTTATTCATTCTAATAGTTTTTTGGTGAAATTGTGAGGGTTCTCTATATATACTCTCATGTCATCTCCAAATAACAATAGTTTTACCCCTCCTTTCCAATTCAGATGAATTTTTTTTCCTGACTGATTTATATGACTAGGACTTCCAATACTATTAATATGTTGAATAAAAGTGATGAAAGTGGACATCCTTGTCTTGTTCCTGATCTTAAGGAGAACACTTTCAGCTTTTCCCTGTTAATGCTGTTAGCTCTGGGTTTTTTGTATATGGCCTTTATTATGTTGAGGTATGTTCTCTCTATCCCCACTTTGCTGAGAGTTTTTATCATGAATAAATGTTGGATTTTGTCAAGTGCTTTTTCCACATCTTTGATATGATTATATGATTTTTATACTTCATTTTGTTTACTTTGTTTATGTGGGATAGCACATTAATTGTTTTGTAGATATTGAACCAAATTGCATCCCAGGAATAAATCCTACTTGACCATGGTGTATGATCTTTTTAATATATTGCTGAAATCAGTTTCCTAATATTCTGTTGAGGATTTTTGCATCGTGCTTATCAAGGATATTGGCCTATAATTTTCTTATTTTGTAGTGTCTTTGTCTGGCTTTGGTATACAGGTAATGCTAGCCTTGTAAAACGAGTTCTGGAGCCTACTTTTCTCTTCAATTTTTTGGAATAGTTTCAGAAAATAGGTATTAACTCTTCCTCAAATGTTTGGTAAAATTCACTTATGAAGGCACCCAGTCCTGGACTTTCATTTGTTGGATATTTTTTTATTTATGATTTAATTTCCTTAGTAGTGACTGGTTTCTTCACATTTTCTGTTTCTTCCTGATTCAGTATTGGAAGATTGTATGTTTCAAGGAATTTATCCATTTCTTCCAGGTTGTCCCATTTGTTGGCATAAAATTGTTCATTGTATTTTGCTTTGTGGTTTATCATCGTGAGACTTACATAAAACACCTCATAGATAAAACAACCCATTTTAAGCTAATAGCAACTTAGCTTTGATCACCTACAAAAGCTCCGCCCTTTTATTCCCCACTCTTTACATTACTGTCATAATATACCTCTTTATATATTGTGTATTCATTAGCTATTATAGCAGCTATAGTGATTTTTCATATTCTTTTCCTTTAACCTTCATACTATTATAGTTAAGTGGTTAACATACCATCTTACTACAGAATTAGCTTTCTAAATATTTATGTTTACCAGTGTGTTGTATAATTTGATATGTTTTCATGTTGCTGATTAGCATCTTTTCATTTCAGCTTAAAGAACTCTTTTCAGCATTTCTTGCAAGGCAGCTCCCTCAGCTTTTGTTTATGTGGGCAGATCTTTATTTCCCCTTTATATCTGAAGGGTAACTTAGTGGGAGTATTCTTGGCTGGCAATTTTTTTTTCTTTTAACACCTTGAATATGTTATTCCACTGTATCAGGGCCTGGAGGGTTTCTGTTGAGAAGCCCTAAAGGGGGTTCCTTTGTAAGTTACAATCTTTATTTCCCTGTCTGTTCTTAGGATTCTCTCTTTGTCTTTGATTTTTCACAGTTTCATTATAAGGCGTCTTGGAGAAGGTCTTTTTGTATTGAGATAATAGGGTGATCTATCAGCTTTGTGAACATGGATGTCCAATTGTCTTCCCAGGTTTGGAAAGTCCACAGCTATTATTCCTTTAAATAAACTTTCTGCACCCTTCTCTCCTGCTTCTCCACGTGGAATCCTGATTATTCTAATTGTTGCTCTTTTTATAGAATCCCATATATTATAGAGGCTTTCCTTGCTTTTTCTTATTCTTTATTCTTCTCTAACTAGGTTGCTTCATACTTCCTACCATCTAACTCACTTACTCTGTCTTCCATTTGGCCTACTTTAATACAGATGCTACCTATAGCATTTTCTATTTCATTCATTAAATATTTCAATTCCAGAATGATTTATATTTCTTTGGTGAATACGTCATTTTGTTCACATATTTTTCCCTGATTTTGTTAAATTGTCTTTCTCTGTTTCCCTGTTGCTTGTTGAGTTTCTTCAAAACAGCTATTTTGAATTTGTCAGTCAGGTCACAAAATTCCATGTTTTTAAGCTGAGTTATTGGAGAATTATTATTATCTTTTGGTGATGACATGTTTCCTGAAATTTTCATGACCTGATAGTATTGCACTGCTGCCTTTGCATTTGAAGTAGCAGACACCTCCTTAAATCTTTACTAGTCGCTTTCAGATGGGCTATTCTGGTTATTGGTGCTGTTATATCTGGCTTTNCAGGATTTCCTTCTTTTTCGTGGTTGAATAATATTTGTGTGTGTGTGTGTGTGTGTGTGTATGTGTGTGTAATCTAGCTATTGTGAAAAATGCTGAAAAAAACATGGGAGTGCATACCTCTCTTCAATATTCTGTTTTCACTTTCTTTAGATATATATCCAGAAGTGGAATTGCTAGATCATATGGTAGTTCTACTTTTATTTTTGGAGGAACCCCCATGCTATTTTCTATAATGGCCCAACCAATTTATATTCCCACCAACAGTAGACAAGGGTTCCCTTTTCTCAACATCTTTGTCAGTACTTGTTATCTCTTGTTTTCCTGATAACATTCATTCTAACAGCTGTGAGGCGCGATCTCATTGTGGTTTCATCTGCATTCCCCTGATGATTAATGATGTTGAGCATCTTTTCATGTACTTGTTGGCCATTTGGATGCCGGTTTAGAAAAATGTCTCTTTAGTTTATCTGTTCATTTTTTAATTGGATTGTTTGGCTTTTTTGTTATTGCATTGTATGAGGTTTTTGTTTTTGTTTGTATTTTGGATATTAACTGATTTTCAAATATATGGTTTGCAAATAGCTTTTCCCATTCTGTAGGTTACCCTTTCTTTTTTTGTTTGCTTCTTTTGCTGTAGTCTCACTTGTTGATTTTTGCTTTTGTCACTTTTATATCAAAAAAAATCATTGTAATGAACAATGTCAAGGAGCTTCTTTTCTGTTTACTTCTAGTTTTACAGTATCCGGTCTTATGTTTAAGACTTTAAACCATTTAGAGTTAATTTTTGTGAGTGGTGTAAGATAAGGGTCCAATTTCATTTTTCTATATATGGTTATCCAGTTTTCCCAACACCATTTATTGAAGAGACTGCCCTTTCCCCATTGAGTGTTCTTGGCTCCTATGTCAAATATTAGTTGACCATATATGCAGAAGTTTATTTCTTGACTCTCTTTTCTGTGTTGTTGGTCTATGTGTCTATTTTTATACCAGTACCATATCATTTTAATTCCTATAGCTTTGCAGTAGAGTTTTAAATTAGGAATTGTGATGCCTCTGGCTTTATTCTTCTTTCTCAGGATCGCTTTGGCTATTTGGGGTCTTTTATGATCCCACACTAATTATCAGGTTGTTTATTCTATTTCTGTGAAAAAATGTCATTGGAATTACAAGGATTATGTTGAATCTATAGATGGCTTTGGGTGGTAAGGACATTTTAACAATATTAATTGTTCTGATCCATGAACATGGATGTCTTTCAATTTGTTTGTGTCTTCTTCAATTTTTTTCATTAAAGTCTTCTCATTTTTATTGTATAGATCTTAATCTTCCCTGGTTTAACTTATTCCTAAGTATTGTTTTTCATGCTATTGTGAATGGAATAGTTTTTATTTTTTTCAGATATTTCATTATCAATATACAGAAACACATTGATTACTGTATGCTGATTTTATGTCCTGCAGCTTTACTTAATTTATTGATTGGTTCCAGCAGTTTTTTTGTATTTTTGTTTTTTTAGTTGTGCCTTAGAATTTTTTATATATAAGAACATATTGTCTGCAAAAATGACAATTTTACTCTTCCTTTCCCGTTTTGATGTCTTTTATTTCTTTGTCTTGCCTAATTGCTCTAGCTCAGGGGTCGNTTCCCATGCTCCACCAAATCCCTGACTGGACACCTGCTGAGATTCCTGTACTGGTTCCCAGGACATTGCTTCATGGAGGCTTCAGCAGAATAAGATGCAGTCATTCAGGGTAAAGGAAAAGGCTTGGTTCTCTACTTAACCACCCTCCTGGCACCGAACATGTAGGCTTTCCACACCAGGCAATGCTCCAATTCTCTGCAGACACCAACTGGGTGTCCTACAGATCGATTCTAACACTACCTGGAGTTAGTGCAAACCCATAGGTTAAGGGCTCAGTTCCCCACTTCAAACACCAATAGCAAGGCCCAAGTTGTCAGCTGTGCCTCTAACCAACTGGCTATAAATTGGAGGTTTCCAACATTTACTCTTCAAGCTTGATAATTTGCTTGAACAGCAGGAAAGTGCTTTACTCACTGTTACAGGTTTATATAAAGGATACAACTCAGGAACAGCTAAATGGGAGAGATGCACAGGACAAGGTATGTGGGAAGGGACGCAGAGTTTCTGTGCCTTCCCTGGACATGCTAAACCTCCCAGCACCTCAGTGTGTTCATCAACCCAGAAACTCCCCAAACCCTGTTGTTTAGGGTTTTAATGGAATTATGATTGATTAAATCATTGGATATCGGTCATTACCCAGAGGGGTGGTGTAGGGGGAGTGCTGAAATCTCCACCCTCTAATCACTCTAATCACATGGTTAATTTCTCTGGTAACCAGGCCCCATCCTCCAAAAGTCACCACATTAGCATAACTCACGGATGGTTGAAATGGACTTTTGTGAATAACAAAAAATGCCCCCTTGTCCTTATCACTGAGGATATTCCAAGGGTTTTTGGTGCCCTGTGCCAGGAACCAGGATGTAAGATGATTTATTTTATCACATCACACAGGGGTTCTCTGCAGTAGTATGGGCAGGTTCAACTCCCTTCTCCCAGCAGAAGCTATGAAATTTTATATTTAACACTTTTCTACAGGCTAGGATCTTTCTTCTTCAGCTGCCTCCCAGACTTTGCTTAGGACCATTTTCCTCACCTCTGCCAGACTAACTATAGTCACTACCAACACCTCTCAGAGGCTTAACCTGCACTCTCATCAGGGTTACTCCAAGTCTTAGCTCACCCAGAACACTCAGATCCATTTGAGCACCTTCCCGGGAACTCAGGTGGACACTCAGAGTCACTGGGAACCACGCGTTGGGAGGTAGGAGCAGTTTGCCTTGATGCAAGCATGAGGAGGCATCTCAACTCTGAGTTTGCCTGCATTTCCCTCTCTAGTGTGTACTTCTGTTTCAATGAAGTCCCTGTGCTTTCCTGCTTCTGTCTCACTCTTGAATTCTTTTTTTGCACAAAGACATGAACTTGGTCACCACCGCTTCAGGTTGAGTCTATGTCAGGATATCCCTGAGAGCCTCCAACGACATCTCTGGCCAGCCAGCCTGGAGCCCTTCACCAAAGACTGGATTGATCTTCCCTCCCAAGGTAAGAACAAAGCCACTTTTAGACTGACTCAGGAATCCCTTAGCCGCATTGCAGGGCCATTAGGGCACTCACCTCTTGAAGACTCCCGTGACAGGTTAAGTTGGTCATGAATTGGCCTAGATTGGCTCTAGGCATCTCCACCAACATCAAAACAATATCAGTGCAATGAGGTACACAGTTACAGTATTATTGAGTCTTCTATTTGTCTGCTCTCAGCTGTGACTCTGCTGTCAGGATTATCATGGCTTCCTGAGACTTGGTCCCTCTTCACTCTAGCTCTAACTCTGCCCCGGTTTCGGGTCTCTCTCTTCAAATTTCCATCCTGTCCCTTGATCCCAGGATCCTTTTTTTTTTTTTTTTTGCCTCATTCTCTATTGACTGGATGATCCTCTTACTTTTTTCTGTCTTGCTCATTCTCATCATCCACAGACTCAATGTTGTCTCAGCACTCAGTCCCTCTGACCTCCTGTCTGCTCCAAGGTCAGACACCTCTCCTTGGAAGTCTCCCTTTCTGTGGCAATCATCTGCTTCTTGAGGCACCTTTTTATCTGCTGCTCATGGCACCCCTGATATACCGGGGCCAACTGATCCTGCATCTGGTCTCAGACCGATCTCATAGGTAAAATCCATCCAGTCTTTATTTTTAGATCATTTATTCACTGCTCCCACAGACTGTCCCAGACCCACTTTTTCCCTCAGGAGTTTAGTCTCCTTGTCCTTCTTCAGGCTGTCTATGAACAATCTGAGGCCTTTTCCATAAAAGAGTCATTTTGCAAGGTCCCAGGCCCTCCATCCTATAAACCCACCTTCCCTTGCATGGAAACATCCTTTCTATTCCAAACCCCAGAATCGCAGGCGGTCAAGAAACTTCAAGATCAGGGATCACCCAGGTTAACCCTTGGGGTTTCTGGGTCCTGCTGGCCAGACTGTCCACACCTGTATCTTAGTCTGGCCTTCTAGTTTCTGTTTTGTTATTCCAGGCATCATGGGAATGTTTTGGTGTATACCTGAAGACTCACCACTTGGCTGTTTCTTATCTATTATTATAATTAGAAAGATTTTAAATAAAACAACCTAAAGCAAACAAAACTTATTTTCTTTTGCAATATGGTCTGGCCCCAATATAAACTAAAGATGAGGGAAACTGGCCTGAAAATGGGACCCTAAATTATAACACAATCTTCCAACTAGATATCTTCTGTAAATGAGAAGAGAGATGGACACAGATTCCATATGTACAGGCCTTCAAGGCTCTCTATGAAGACCCAGAAAAGAGGGGCTCCTGTAAAATTTGTTATGCTCACACTCCCCTGGCTACCCCATCTAAACATAACCCTGACCTCTAAGGTGAATCCCTTCTATTGAGAAGCCCATTGTCCCTGGAGGAAGAAGTTCCACAGGGCAGCCGGATCCAGGGCCAAACACCCAGTTTCCTCAGCTTCCTCCTCACCCTCTACTCCACCTACGAGTCTTCCCACCTCACCTCCTCCTTACGCTTCTCTATACCCTCCCTGCGAGAAGAGGTGGTTAAACATAGCCCCACAGGACATACCCAGAGTGGAGCTACTTACCACCCGAATTCTACCAAACTATGTCCACTCGGAAACGTTGTAAATGGACCATTTAGGATCCATGTCCCATTCTCCAGGACAGATTTGGCCCAATGCAAAATTAGGCTAAGGAGCTTTTCCAAGGACACAACTAAATATACTGATGAAT